CTTTCTTGGATTTAGACGATATGGTCGACATACCGATATGTCCCTTATGTGCCCTATAAAAAGGCCATTATGTATTTTGTCTCACCCAAATCAACCTCATACCCTCCTTCGAATAAGTGGCGAAATCACAGGCAGGGCTAGTTGTTTGTTTTTTGGTTTTGGATTTCGAAAAAAATACTATTGGAAATCCCAAGACCCCAATGAAAATGAAGATTTTCCCCACTGGTTTAGTTGTTTTTCATGCGGTAGACGAAAATCTTGGAATATAGACCATGATTTCTATTTCTACTGCACCATATGCAAGGTGTTGTTCCACAGTGGTTGTCACAAGTTTCCGAGGAAGGTAACACACCCTTATCACCTCCACCACCCTCTTACGTTCACACTTCGGAACCATGAAACCAGGGTCTTATCCGACGGCAATATAGATGAATCATTTTGGAATATGGTTTTGTCCGAATCCAATGCATCCGATCCTAAGAAGTATGTATTAGTCCAAGCTAGCGGGCATCAGTCCAATACCGATAAATGCACATGGTGTGGGGAAAATATCCAAGGCAATTGGTTCTATCGTTGTTCTATATGTAACTTTTGCTTGGATATCTGTTGCTTCCAAAAGGTCTTACTTCTCAACGTTGCAAACCCAAAGAGTCATCACCATCCACTCGTCTTCTACACCCGACCAGTTTTAACTCCATGCGATGCTTGTGGGTTGGTCAATGTCTTGGATCCAAGCTATGCTTGTTTTCAATGTGATTACATGGTCCATAGAAGCTGCATCGACCTACCAAGAGTCATAAAGATCACGCGTCACCAACATCGTCTTTTTCATACTCCTTACCTTCAACCCATAACTTCACCATGTCTGGTATGCTACAAGACACTTGACGTCAAGTATGGTCTATATTCTTGCAACCAGGATTGCCCTTATGTAGTTCATTCGAAATGTGCAACGCATGAGAACGTATGGGATGGGAAAGAACTCGAATGGGAACCCGAAGAGCCCGATGAAACTGAAGATATCCCCCCTTTTACCAAGGTTGGTGCTGGTCTGATAAAGCATTTCTCTCATAAACATTTTTTTAAGCTGGAAAAGTATGATGGTGGTCGAGATGCCGAGAAGCAATGTCAAGCATGCATTCTTCCTGTTTCTCGTAATTTCTACAATTGCATACAATGCAATTTTTCTCTCCATGAGGTATGTGCCGGTCTTCTTCGAAAAATGGATCATGCATTGCACATTCACCCTCTTGTCCTAGACCCTTCACCTTAGGAAAACCGTGAACACATTGGTTGTTCAGTTTGTTCCAGAAAGTCTACCGGTTTCAGGTACATATGTGTCAAAGAGAATTGCGGGTTTATCGACAAATTTCACGACAGATTTCAGATAGATGTTCGTTGTGTTTTAGTTCCAGCTTATTTCACCCATAAGAGTCATGAACATCCGCTATTCATCTCCACATCCTACAAAGGTGAAGAGATTATTTGTTGCAAGAATTGCAAGGAGATGTGTCATCACTCTTACCTACAATGTTCCGAATGCAATTTTGCTATGTGTTATCATTGCGCTACCATTCCAAATGAGGTATACTACATGCACGACAAGCATCCTCTCTCTCTTTGCTACGGAGAAAAAGGAGCGGATGGTATGTACTGGTGTGAAGTATGCGAGAAAGAGGTAAATCCAAGGGATTGGTTCTACACATGCAACCAATGTTGTATCACTATCCATCTTCAATGCGTATTCGGATGTTCTGTTTACATGAAGCCTGGTTTTACATTCAAATATCATCGTAGCAATTCGGACATTGTTCGTAACAATAACAACACTCGGCCGCTTTGCGTCGAATGTGGCCATCGTTGTCCAAGTAACATCTACTACAAAAAGAATAGATCTGCCATGGTTGCTTGTTCTTTGAATTGTTTAGTGAGAGACAACACTTCAGAGAAACCTATGAGGAATTTCACATCGGAAATTAAGATGAGATATAAATTACATACAATGAGCGATTCTGCATATTACCAATTGTTAAGTTTTAGTTTGAAACCCATAATATTTGTATGATGAAATTTCCGTGTGTTGTTTGATTCTTTTACTTTTATCCTTGGGGCATTTGTATTGCTAGATAATATGCATAATCCATTTTTTTTCTTTTTTCTTTTGAAACTAAATAATCCATTCTTATTCAACCGACAGTTCGAATTTCTACAATATCCGTGTTATTCAAACATTAAAAGATGTTATTGAATCAATGATTTAAGGTCAATTTTATCATTTTCAAAAATATAAGGAATTCTAAATTTTGATAAATTCTGTGTGTGGATTCTAAATTTATTGTTGCAATTTTTCCTTAGTACTAGTATTACTACTTATGACTTTAATCAGGAATAAAAGAGGGAGAAGAATTCCCGTTGTTCAGTTTCCGAGTCTCACAATTTCCAGGACGATTTTTTCCCAAGAAAATTTTTGTGATCGGAAGTCAGATAAAGCCAAATGACTATGAAGAATTTGGTGGAGCCTTCGTGGCGTCTCCTGGCTGCGAGCGGCGGAGACACGGTCAAGCTCTTCGACGTCGGCGCCGAGTCTGGACATCCCTGCGTTTTGAGCTATACTCCGACGACGCCTGGCTCTGCCGTCAATTCCGTAAAGTGGAACCATACGAGTAAGTAGCCCTAGATTTCCCCGTTTTCTCGACTGTTCTTATAAGAAGATAAGAAGATATCTCTTAGTCATCAGCTACAACGCTCCTTTCAATGCCATTGTGGTACACTTCCATTTGTAAACGATATTAATCAATGTCTATTTGCGTGGCGTAAATATAATTCAGGATTAATGTTTATCGGCCATTAGCTTCAACAACAAAGGGTCTAGGTATATATGTTCTGGAGGAACTGGTCAAACTGTAAGGATATGGGATCTGCAAAGAAAGCTCTGTATTAAAAAAACTTGAGGGGTCATACAAGTACAATAACGGTTGTTATGTACAATTGCAAAGATGAGCATTTGGCTTCTATCAGTGTTGGTGGGGATCTGATAGTTCATAACCTTGCATCTGGTTCAAGAGCTGCTGAACTCAAAGATCCAAACGGGCAGGTTGTTTGGTTAGCACATGCATGCTTTCATTTATAGTTGAGAGCCTTTGTTCGTCAAACTAATTGGCTTTCTGATCGATTCAAGACCAGGATTTTCGGCAAAGCAAGTCTTAAAGTCGCTGAGAGAGCGACATGTAGGATTTTCGACCTCTCACTTATAGTATAAGATTTGGTTTAACATTAAAATTGTGGTTAGATGTTTACATTTCCATTCATATGAGGATGTAGAAAAAAAAGGAAATATTCCAATCTATTCAGCATATTAAAAAAAATTCCTTTTAAAATAGTTTTACAGAAGTTTTAGAGTTGGGTTATTTAAATCCTGGATCTACATCTAGTATATATTTTGCTTGAATGTGCGCAGCCTGGAAACAGGTCTTGAGGAAAAAAATCAAATGAGAATGGTATTACAAGTAAACAATGGCCAATGTTATTTAAATCCTGAATATGAATTTGATCTACATCTACTATTTTTGTTTTGTGTTGTTTGAACGTGCACAGCGTGGAAGCATGTCTTGGGATAAACTTTAAATGATGATTTTATTACAAGTAAACGATGACCATATAAAATTGTATATTCTGGTCATTCATATATAAACCAAACAGCAAGTTGGTCATTTTCTATTAGGGAGATGGTTGTTAATTAATGTCAACTACCATTTTCTCACATTTACTTAACTCCTCGAGATCGGAAAAGTGAGAGAGAAGAAAATATCAGAAACACACACATTTCGATCATAACCAAACCACCAACAACAAAAAAATGGAAAAAGAACAAGTACCTCCACCACCTCCTCCCCTCCCTCCCTTTGGTGGAATCAGACGATCTCATAACCAAAGCAGCAAAAACATGGACAGTGAACAAGTA